ACATAACAGCTTTTAGTTTGATCATGAATTTCCATAAAAAAAAAAAAGGGGAAGAAAAAAGAGAAGAAAAGGGTGACCTAGTAAGCTAAATGTTTCCTTGACTTGGAAAGTTGAAGATCCAATGATGAAAGGCATTGTTTCTCTATCCCAAACAGTAACATTGTCCTTTGCTTACCCTTTTTGCACTAGAAAAAGGCAATCATCCAAATTTAGAAAAGCCAAGATGATTTTCTTCTTGTTAACCCACATTAATGACCGGGGTTGTGAAGAGAGAAATGTGAGGGGAATATATGAAGAAATTGATTTTTAGCCTTTACCCTTTCTTTCATGGTAGCCTAACCCCAAGCCACATTACAAGCCTATATAAAGTCCTTATTTGAGGGTTTGAAACTTTCTTTGTCAAGGAACATAAAAATAAAAAAAAAATAAAAAAATAAAAAAATCCTTTCTCTAGTGAGTCCAAGTCAGTTAGTATAACTGAAAGCTCGATGGTTTATGATTGGTCTTCTAAACATTGAAGGTTAATTCATGGGAAGGAGATAGATTGGATGTGTCCACCTTGGCGTGGAAGTAGACATTGTCTCATATGCTAAAGACTAGATTGGTGGAGTTGCAAAGAAATAAATTCTTGAAGCAAATACTTTATAGCTTGAATGCCTTGGTTAAAATTGTTGCACAATTCAAAAATCATGTTTATCTCTTTCTATCCATACATATTATCCATGCCCTGGCCTTCTTTTTCTTATTTAGATTAGGATGCTGATTGGTTATGATGCTTTATTTCAGTTAATATAATTGCTGAAATCTCTTGACAAATCTAAAAAGAAAAGAAAAGAAAAGAAAAAAGAATGAAAGATGTGGAGAAAAGCAATAGCTTGATTCAATGGTCATGATGCTTATCCTCTCCTGCTGTGATTCGAGAATTTTCCCCAGTGAACTAGAGATGCTCTCAAGTCACTGAACTTTATGCAAAACATGTCATTAGCCTATTGATAAATGTGCAACATGAAGGACACTGGACTCTTGCCAAATATGGGTATCCAATATGTTCAGGGAAGTTTCTTAACATCTCTTCTTTGTTAAAAAACCATTTTCTTGCTTTGTTAAAAAACCATTTTCTTGCTTGGTTAAAAAAAAAAAAACTGTTTCTTGTTTGGTTAAAAAAAAAACCATTTACTTACTCGGTTAAAAAACCATTTCTCATTCGATTAAAAAAACCGTTTCTTGCTTGGTTCAAAAACCATTTCCCATTCGGTTAAAAAACCTCTCTACTCAACTGGCTTGGTCGTTTGACCATAGCCACTCAAAATTAGCTCGGTCATTTGACCTAGCAATTCGACTTACTCGGTTAAAAAACCGTTTCTTGCTTGGTTCAAAAACCATTTCTCATTCGGTTGAAAAATCGTTTCTTGCTTGGTTCAAAAACCATTTCTCATTCGGTTAAAAAACCGTTCTTGCTTGGTTCAAAAACCATTTCTCATTCGGTTAAAAAACCGTTCTTGCTTGGTTCAAAAACCATTTCTCATTCGGTTAAAAAACCGTTTCTTGCTTGGTTCAAAAATGATTTCTCATTCGGTTAAAAAATTGTTTCTTGCTTGGTTCAAAAACCATTTCTCATTCGGTTAAAAAATAGTTTCTTGCTTGGTTCTGATGAGCTAAATTTATATACATATTAATAGGGAATTTTTACTTTGATTTTATTGATATTTGGATGAGTTTTATAGGATTTTGTTTGATTTTACATGGTTTTCATTCTTTGTGTAGGAAAGGATTTAATTGGAAGAAACCCTACTTTTTAAAAGTAAATTGAAGAGATCAGAGAGTTGAGGATCAACTTGTGCAGAATCCAAAAGTCAGGAACTAAATATGCTATTTTACCATTGAAGAAATTGCAAAAGGAGAGCAGAAACCCGACACGAGTGTAGTGTCGACACATGATCGGGGTGTCGATGCTATGCGCTAAACGTCCAAAATCAAATTCTGTTTCTTATTTTGTGTCAACACGTAATTCGAAGTGTCAGCACCACGCGATCAACATCTAAAATTCAGTTTCCTATTTCTATTCCAAGTCCTACTTCTATTTCAATTAGGGTTTTTAAAATCCTATAAATACTCATCCAAATTCAAAATTAAGAGAGTTTTGGAAGGCTTGTGGCAGCTTTATTTTGGGCATTATTGGAGATCAAGATTGAGGTTCCATCAACAATAGAAGATCAAGGAATTCGATTTCCTTAAATTGGGTTTTGTTTTTCCTTGGGTTTTTCTTTATTGTTTGATATTTAAATATTCATAACTTTGATTTCATATTTTATTCTTTTTATTATGAACTGATTTATTTTATTAAGGCTATGATGTAGCATAATCAATTGAATATAGATTTTGTGATTTTATATTTTCAATTAAAGTTATTCGTATGAGGAGTTTATATTATTGAACTTAATGCATTAGAAGCCTGATCATCTTTCAATTGATTTAGTGATTTATGCATAAACTTGAGAAAGAATTGCGTAGAGTAGACCAATAATAATATAAACCGTGTGCTAGACTATGAGACCGAGAGGTAATTAGCTCACATGTGGTAGTAGAGGAAGAGAAGAGAGTTAGTAGCTCTCCCTTCTTAAGCTAGAGGTTTCCATAGAATCTAATGCTCATTAGTTTGTTTAAAATTACATAGAGATATGATTAATTTAACAAACAAGTGAAGGATTAACTTGACTTGAGAAAGCTAATTAATTAATTTAGGGAAATCCGCCATCACATGCAATAACACTCAACAATTTGTTAATCCAGAATTTATATTGATTGATTATGGTGAAATCAATGCCTTAGTACCTCCTATCTTGGTTAGGTTTATTTGTTATTTTCTTTTTATTATTTTTAATTAAAGTTTCTTTCTATTTGATTGTTCAAATAAATTTAGATAATTATTTTGGTACTTAGTTAGACACAATCATCGTGGGTTCGACACTCTCTCATCATTATATTACTTGGAGCGACTAGTACACTTGTTAGGGTGATTTTAGTGCATTAAGTTTTTGGCACCGTTGCTGGGAACTAGTCATCTACATATTAAGATTAATAATTTGGCCTTAGATTGAATTTTTTTTTTCTTTTTCTTTCTTGATTAGTTGTTTTTTTTTTTTCTATTTTTATTCTTTATTTATCTTAGTTTTATTTTTTTTACTTTTTGATTTTTTTAGGATATTAGTGCATGACCCGTAGTAGTGGTGGTGATCTTGTTTCATTTGATCCAGAAATTGAGAGAACTTTTAGAGAGTTCTTAAAAGAGCAAAAGCATAACATCATGGCAGAAGAAGGTGAAGGACAAAATAATGCACACACTCTTGGTTCATATGCTACCCCATCCCTTGAAGGAATAGCATCTAGCATTAGGAGGCCAACGATTCAAGCCAATAACTTTGAAATCAAACCAGCTATCATTCAAATGATCCAACAAACTGTCCAATTCAGTGGTTTGCCTAATGAAAATCCTTATTTGCATATTGCTAGTTTTCTTGAAATTTGTGATACTTTTAAGGCTAATGGTGTTAGTAATGAGTCTGTTAGGCTTACATTATTTCCATTTTCTTTGCGTGATAAAGCCAAGAGTTGGCTTCAATCTTTTCCTGCAGGCCATTTTACCGTATGGAATGTTTTGGTAGATAAATTCATAGCTAATTTTTTTCCTCCTTCGAAAATAGCTAAGTTGAGAGATGACATTACTACTTTCGTTCAATTTGATAATGAGTCATTATATGAGGCATGGGAAAGATTTAAGGAACTGCTTAAGCAATGTCCAAATCATGGTTTACCTGTTTGGCTCCAAGTGCAGACTTTTTATAATGGTATGACTACTCCTAATCGTTCTATAATTGATGCAGCTACAGGGGGTAATCTTATGAATAAGATAGAGGAGAATGGTTATAAGCTGTTAGATGAAATGGCCTCTAATAGCTATCAATGGACTAATGATAGAGCTACCAAAAAGGGAGTTGGTTTACATAATGTTGATGCTTTTACTTCTTTATCTGCTCAAATTTCTGCTTTGAATAAAAAGTTAGATAATTTAGGAGCGTCAGCTATGAGTATTTCATCTAATAGTTGTTGTGAATTGTGTGGGCAATTTGGTCATGCTAGTGTTGAATGTCAAGTGGGTAATTCAGTTCAATCTTCTAATGAGCAAGCTAATTTTGTTTCTTCTGGTGGTAGGTCTAATTTTAATCCATATTCCAATACCTACAATCCAGGATGGAGGAGCCATCCTAATTTTTCATGGAGTAATAATCAAGTGAGAGTACCACCAGGTTTTCAGCAACAAAATCAGCAAGAAAAGAAGCCAAATTTGGAGGAGTTGGTGCACAAATTTTTTAGTAGTACAGAAGCACGGTTTCAAAATCAAGAAATAAGGTTTCAAAATAAAGATGCTGCTATTCGGAATATAGAAACGCATCTTGGATAGATTGCGATATGGTTTCTGGAAGAGTTCAAGGGGGTTTGCCAAGCAATAGTGAAAAGAATACAAGGGAGCAATTGAAGGCTATCACTTTGAGGAGTGGGAAAGAACTTAAAGAGGTAGGACAATCTAATGGGAAAGAAGGTGTGGAAGCTGGTGAATCAAAGCAAGAGGAGGAGCCTAAAAGACTTTTTCATGATCCGAATGTCAAGCCTTATAAGCCGAAAATCCCTTTTCCTCAAAGATTTTTGCAAGCTAATTTAGACAAGTAGTTTTCTAAATTTTTAGAGGTGTTTAAAAAGTTACATATTAATATTCCTCTTATTGATGCTATTTCGCAGATGCCAAGCTATGCAAAATTTTTGAAGGAGATCCTTGCCAATAAAAGGAAGTTAGAGGAGTTCGAGATGGTGAAGTTAAATGAAGAGTGTTCTGCTATTCTTCAGAATAAGTTACCTCCTAAGTTGAAGGATCCAGGGAGTTTTTCTATTCCTTGTATTATTGGCAATGTTAATTTTGATAAGGCTTTGTGTGATTTGGGTGCTAGCATTAATTTGATGCCTTTTCACGTATTTAGGAAACTTGGATTAGGAGAACCTACACCTACCACAGTTTCTCTTCAATTGGCAAATAGGAGCATTAAATATCCAAGAAGAGTGGTAGAGGATGTTTTGGTAAAAGTTGACAAATTTATCTTTCCTATTGATTTTATTGTTCTTGACATGGAAGAGGATTTTGAAATGCCTTTAATTCTTGGTAGACCATTCCTTGCTACTGGTAGAGCGCTTATTGATGTTCAACAAGGGAAACTTAGCCTTAGAATACATGATGAGGAGATTGTTTTTAATGTGTTTGATGCTATGAAAAATTGTAATCATGATGACAGTACTATTTTAAGGATTGATGTGGTAGACAATGTAGTGGCTGAAAATTTTAATGCTTCTAGATTAGATGATCCTATTGATAATTGCATTGTTAATGCTTTGGATGTGAAAGTTGATAGTGCAGACAATAACATTTTGGAGGCAGCAGCTATTCTTGGGGAAAAATGCCATAGGCAGCCACAAAAAGGAGGGAATTTTCTGCCCTTAGATGCACCGTCCACTGTGACAGTCAAGCCATCCAAAGAGGAGCCCCCTACTCTTGAATTAAAACCTCTTCCTTCTCAATTAAAGTATGTTTATTTGGGTGATTCAAATACCTTACCTGTTATAATTTTTGCTTCTTTGACAGGAATAGAGGAGGAGAAACTCTTAAGGGTGTTGTGAGAACACAAAAGAGCTATAGGATGGAGCATAGCGGATATCAAAGGAGTTAGCCCTTCGGTTTGCATGCATAAAATTCTGCTGGAGGAGGGCCACAAGTCGATTGTTCAGCCTCAAAGACGCCTTAATCCTAACATGCAAGAGGTGGTAAAAAAGGAGGTAATCAAATGGTTGGATGCAGGTATTATTTTTCCTATCTCTGATAGTACTTGGGTGAGCCCTGTGCAAGTAGTGCCTAAAAAGGGTGGGACAACTGTGGTAAAAAATGAAAATGATGAATTAATTCCCACTAGAATAATAACAGGGTGGAGAGTGTGCATAGATTATAGGA